CAGGCCCACAGGATATCTTTTTGGTAGGAAATCTGTTGATTGAGATAAACAAAAGTGCATGAAAATAAAGAGAATGGACTATACTGAGACACTAACAATTTGCAAAGATGTTTCTAGTTTCAAAGCATTGCAGAAAGTAATCTGTGTGGTGAAGATTTTAGTCTTCAGGTGTTTGGAAATTTTCTGAAATGTATTTTTATCAAAAGCCTAGATTCTACCTATATTCTCTCTTAAAGTCCATAACAAATTCTGACTAATGGATTTAGGATATTTTTCGTAGGCTTAGGGATTTTGTTTCTCTCTTTTCACTTTCACACTGTGGGTTTAAATGGCTGCAGGAAGAAATTTAGAATCAAAACCTGTGCAGTTCAGGATAAAAATCAGTTCAGGAAAAAAGATCTACTGTTGCTAGAGCAAAAATCAAATCTATTTTACATTGGTGTTGGTTGAAGAGGAACTAGATCAAAGAGGGGAAGTTAAAGTGTATCTTACTTTTGCTTGAGAGTTGGATGTTGAGAAGTGCTCACAGTGGAAAGACAGAGATTCCTGGGTAATCCCATTTAAATCACAAATATAACTTTCAGGTACAGATCATTAGTTGCCTCTTTCATGTCTTGACCTTCTTATGATTTCAGAGAATTCAAAGAAGACGTTAAATCCTTACCAAATTTAACTTGTCAATAAGGACAATAGAGAGGAAGGATTTGTCTAACAAACTTTGACAGGCATGGTGTATCAGCCACTTTATTCAATATACACAACATTTCTATAGTCTCTTTTGTGACAGATGTTGGAGATACATTTTAAATTTAAAATTACAATGATTGGTATAAGATTCACCTGCACCAAATAGATGCGTTCCTGTCAGGGTAAGTGGAAAGCACATCCAGCAGGATGTAGTATTTAAGTACCTGCTGTTTGAAGATCATGATCCTAAGGGTGATATATAGTCCTTGTCCCTTCTCCTTTACCTCCCATTTCTGCTGGCCTCCTCCTCACTGCCTGCAACAGAATAGGATGAACACCCTCAATAGCAACATTTTGTTTCCTCACACTCACTGCAGTTCCCTTTTACACTGAACCAGCTTAAAGCCTTCGCTCATCAGACCTGTTTCTCTGTTCAACACAACTGCTAGGGAGGTAAATGAAGGAAAACAAGGCATGCTGTGGCTGCCAGCATGCTCTGAGAAGATTTACTTCAGCCTGTGTCAGCCTGGACTAGGTTTCTCCTAGTGGGTGGTATTGGGGGTCCAAGTCAACCCACGCGTGCTCTGCTTCTTCCTGTCAACTGCTCACTGCAAAAAGACCCGGGATCACATCAGGCCAACAGTTAATGCACCATATCGTCTACCAAACCCCCCAGTTCTACCCCAAACCGTCACCTAGTCAAAAGATGGGAATGATTCTCAGTACTATTAATTCATTAGAGAGAGAAACAACTTCACTGGAAATATTTCCCAAGTACATATCAAATATAAAACAGTGAATTATTTTATATGTGGATTTCTTGGCTTTGAACACTTTCCATGTGGTGATTATGGTGTTTCCATTCCACAGAGTCATATATATTTTGAAATATATTTCAGAAAATGAACTTCGTTGCTTTTCAGGTCACAAGAGACATTCCTTGCCTTTTCTGGGTATTCTCTGTTTAGCAAGAATGCACTTAGTATAGCAGGATAAATTATAGAAGCCCATGGGAGTCAGTGCCATATTGTGCAACTCACACAAACACCCATGGGCTTGCAGAGGAGAGCTCTGTTTGTTCAAGAATAAGATCTGGTATTTCTCATGCAGGAGGTCATATTACCTTGAAGTGCCTCTGCCCCGTAGCTCTGCCTGATGAATAACATCTGCTCCCATAACAACTGCCTCTCCAGCAGGAGAGATGGGCTCTATGGCATGACAAAAACCAAAAGCAGTCCACAGGCAGTCCTCTACCAAGGCAGCAAGCGACCACAATAAGAAACAGAAGCCTCTCTACGTGCCTGATTCAAGCCCTGCTGGAGCCAACAGGAAAGAGTCCAGAAGATTTCAGGGTGTCTTGATTTAGGAAACATGCACACCGCTGTCTCTGCTCCAATAAGGGTGGTACTATCAGCAGCAACAATAAATGTCAGATGAAACTGAATGTTTCTCCAGTCCTTTGCCTTCTTGTCAAGATACACAGAAAAACATGGGTCACTTTACAATGGTATTGATGCAAGCAAAGGAAGTTTTTACTGGAATTAGCAATAGCAGATATGTTTTTCCTTACCTAAGAAATCTGTAATTGTCAATGTAATTTGCAGTCCAGAACTAGCAGCCTTCTTATGGCAGGAAAGTTTTGTGCAACTAGAGATCACTGGGCAAGGGACTCCTCTGCTTTGCTTCCATTCACATTAACACACTGAATTCCTATTCCCAGCAAGTAAAATTAGCCTTTAGCTTTCATCTCACTCCTCCCATCCCAGATAACAAAATCAGGAGAGCTTATATTGAATTACAAATATTTCCAGTGCAAGTGGGTAAAAATTTCACCTGAAAAGACCTAGGAATAAAGTTAGCTGGGAGATGGTAATTTGGTTTCACAAGTTTCCAGTTTCTAAAACAAATTATTGTTTTTCAGTGGAATGAAATGAACTTCAGAACATTTTGTCAAAAATAAATTGAAGAGAAATGCTTGTTTTCTATCATAAAGCACAATTTTTTCAGCTCTGATCCTCTCTCACTTAATTCCATTTTGCTCTCCCACTCACTCTCTGTCACCAGAGGTAGCTGCAGAACCCTGGATCACACAGACTTTTCAGCTGCATTTTTTTTTTTAAATCAGTACATTTCTATGTGTCATTTTGGTTTTTTTCACTAAAAATGCATTCTGTTAAGAATGTTCATAAACAAATCTGGTTAGGAGAAGTTCTTAGCTTATCCCAAAAATTGATATCTGACACATCTAACAGGATAACCAGCAGCTCATTTGTGAAGCTCTGGGAGAAAAACACACTGTGAAGTGCTGAAACAACAGTCCTATATATTATAGGTGTCCTGTCTATTTTTTTGCACAGAGTATAAATTTTGTTACATTCCATTCAGCTTATTCTTACTGTACAAAGCACAGATTTAACTGAAGAATTCCTCTTCCCTGTTTTGTCCTCTTGACCCTGACCCCAAGGATTCTAGGGATATACCTGTGAATAGATAGCAGGGAAAAAAAACGTGTATGTAGCCTTATGTTCCTCTATTCACTTCAACATGGAATTGACAAACAAATCTTAGCTGTTTTTGAAAGCATGAGTCCCATATTCTGCCACTGTATTTCTTTATGTATAAGTTACAAGATTACAGACAGAAAATCTTTACCCTGGTATAGTGTTTTGACTTTTCCATGGAAACAGACTTGCTTATTTTCCTGGGAGGTCAGAAGGGTTTTTTGCCACTATGCTGACATTTTACATCATCTTCTTTCTTTTGCATCTCAAAAAAAAAACCAATAAAACAACCAAACCACAGTTCTGAAATGGCAGTAAAAATGCATTGTTCCTTTGGAGTGACATGGACTGCGTATGTCTGTGCATCAGCAGGTTAGTCAGAGGGACCAGAAGAGAGTTCTTTAACCCTGGGTGTATAAAGGAGCCAACCTAAATAATTTTTTTGTCTTCCTTTGATTGTACCATTATGTCTAGAAGCTCTTTTTTAAAAAACGATGCCTTATGGTTGGGGAAAGAAAGGAGAATACTTTAATTAGAAAAAAATCTAACTTCTCTGTCACATCTGGCCTTTATGCCTCAATAATCCCTTGAGCACAGCTCGTAAGTAATGAGCACTCAGAGACGGGCTGTACAATTCCAGTGCATTCTATTGACTTCCAGGAGATGCAAAAAAGGATAGTACATATCCTGAAGGCAAAAGAATGTGTCATTTTCTTAGTCTTCTATCAGTCATATATTGCTAGTAGTTTAATTATAATTTATTGAGTACTGCTGGTAGGCTATGCAAGGCACAGAAAGAATTATGTGTATAAACAGAACTGATTTTTATCTTTTTCTTTATTTATCATTACCCTGTTACCCATTTCCATAGACCTTTTGTTGTAGCTTCATGTGATACAGATTAAAAATACTGTGATTTGAAAAATAATGAGAATTGTACAAGCAAGCAAGCATCAAGCAAGCATCTAGCAAGCATAATCTCATCACATTTTAAAAATTCAAAAAACAATAAGGCCTTTTTCAGGTACAAATATTCAAAAGTATGTAAAAAATAACTTCAATCTCACTGCAATTGAAAAAAAATAAAATAAAAAATGTATCTAATGTGTCTAACTAGATAGCCAGATGCTCAACTGAGGTGAGTTTACTTATTCTGTTGACTTCAACAGGCCTTCCTTTTTTGGTTTATCGACGGACTAATTAGTTTCATACAGGGCCAAAATCTTTATATTTATTGACCAAAGAAAGGGACTGCAGGGTCAGAAAATTAGGGGGAGACATGACATAAGCTTGCTTGTTCCATAAATCTCACAGAAGCATGCCAAAGTGGAACATGAAGGAAAGATGGAAACAGAAGTTGCCTTCATGTGATCTGGCTCCCAGTAAATCACAGCATTACTCTGCCTTATAAGAATGTCATACCCTCAGGTCTGGACTTTTTTATTTGGATTAGAGTTTGAAACGAACAGTCAGTAAGAAAGAAAACAATATGCAGATTGAATTCCAAAATATTTGAGTCAATATTAGCTTTAAAAAAGAATAAAGAGGAAAAAAAATCATCAGAGAACTTAAAAATATAGATTTAGCTTCAAATGTGTGTCTTTCTTACCTATTTAGAAGCAGCCTATTGTCATGTGATTCATAAATGGATATTATATGTTGTAAGATGTTTTCATTATCCAAAGCTGACTGGCTTTTCTGAATACATCTTCTATATTCAATCTCTTTCCAAGTAGTTCTTCTGGGATCCATTTCTTAAAGTCAAAGAGACTAATTTCCTGATGGTAACTATTTTCTTTTCTTTTTCTGCAGGTTTAAGTGGTAACTGGGTATCTTGTTAGCAGAACAGCAATGAATAACTCAACGTACATAAACTCTTCCACTGAAAATGTGATGGCTTTGGAAAGCCCCTATAAAACTGTTGAGGTGGTCTTCATCGTCCTGGTAGCAGGGTCTCTCAGTCTAGTCACCATAATTGGGAACATCCTGGTCATGGTGTCGATCAAAGTCAACAGGCACCTCCAGACTGTAAACAACTATTTCCTGTTCAGCTTGGCCTGCGCTGACTTGATCATCGGCATCTTTTCAATGAACCTGTACACCCTCTACACTGTGATAGGCTACTGGCCCTTGGGGCCTGTGGTGTGTGACCTCTGGTTGGCTCTCGACTATGTGGCCAGCAATGCCTCTGTAATGAACCTCCTCATTATCAGCTTTGACAGATACTTTTGTGTCACCAAGCCTCTGACATACCCTGTGAAGCGGACCACTAAGATGGCAGGCATGATGATTGCAGCTGCCTGGGTTCTGTCCTTCATCCTCTGGGCCCCTGCAATTCTCTTCTGGCAATTCATTGTGGGAGGAAGGACTGTCCCAGATGGGGACTGCTATATCCAGTTTTTTTCCAACCCTGCTGTCACTTTTGGCACTGCCATTGCAGCCTTCTATTTGCCTGTTATCATCATGACTGTCCTTTACTGGCAAATCTCTCGAGCCAGTAAGAGCAGGATAAAGAAGGCGAAAAAGGAAGCTGCACAAAACCAAGATACAGTTTCCCCCAGCCTTGTCCAAGGTAAAATAGTGAAACCAAACAATAACAACATCCCAACCAGTGGAGATGGGTTGGAGCACAGCAAAATTCAAAATGGAAAACCCAGTGAGGAGACTGTGACTGATAACTGTGTTCAAGCAGAGAAGGAGAGCTCCAACGACTCCACCTCTGTCAGTGTGGTAGCTTCCAACTTGAAAGAGGATGAAGCTACCAAAGATGCCAAACAGGCTTCTACCTCCCAAGACCACCTCAAAGTGGAGAACTCCAAGCTGACATGCATCAAGATAGTCACAAAGTCCCCAAAGGGAGACTGCTGCGCCCCTACCAACACCACCGTGGAGATCGTAGGTACAAACGGGGAGGAGAAGCAGAATAGTGTAGCCCGGAAAATAGTCAAGATGACAAAGCAGCCAGCCAAAAAGAAACCACCCCCCTCTAGAGAGAAAAAAGTGACAAGGACTATTTTAGCCATCCTCCTGGCCTTCATCATCACCTGGACCCCATACAATGTGATGGTGCTCATCAACAGCTTCTGCACATCCTGCATCCCTAACACCGTATGGACCATAGGCTACTGGCTCTGTTATATCAACAGCACCATCAATCCTGCTTGTTATGCGCTCTGCAATGCTACCTTCAAGAAGACCTTTAAGCACCTTCTTATGTGTCATTACAAGAATATAGGAGCTACGAGGTAAAAATAAGAATAAAAATAATTATGGAAAGGGTGAAGAAGTTCCAAATTAAATTAAAACCCCGCGATGTTGCAGCACTTTATGCTCTTCTATGGAATGTGCAATCCAGGATGCTAGTGGAAATCCTGACACGGGGCATCAGCTCTACCCCTGAGAACTACAGTTAAAAACATTTTTTTAATAATTGAAAACAAATCTTTAGGACATGGGTATGTTTGAGAAATTGTTCAAGGATGTGGACTGGAGGCACAGTTCCTTACTTTCTGAGAGTATTCTGCAGAAGGGCTTTAGAGTCTACAATTTTTGGTCATTCTGTGTGAAATACTTGTTCTTATTTTTCCTTTCTTTTTTTTTCTTTTCCCCTGTATCTGTTTAACACATTTTCATCTAGGGAAAAAAAAAAAAAAAAAAAATTTTAATAATAACTGTGTGGAAGAGGCATAGGAGTATAGAAGATCATTGCATAATCCAAATGCATCATGGCAGAAATTTTCTAAAGTTCAAAGTTGTCTAACAGTTTTTTGCCGCTGTCATGTGAGAAGCTTGATGTTGGGTACATCGCGATGAAAGTTATGTTGTTTATGACACCACCATTTCCAAAACTGCATCAATTCTGCAAGTGTACTTATGCTCAACACGTAATCATTGCCTAACTTGTATATCATTCGAAGTCTGCAGCTTGTCCCATTCTACAGGCTTTTGTTCTGTGACTACTTCATCATGTCAGGATGAAAGTGAAAAGATGTGGTCTCGTCCAGATTGCTACATCCCAAGACTACTTCAGCATCCATGTAAACCAAAGCTTTTGAGACAATTTTGTTCACTTTGTTTGTCACATAATATCAACGTGTGGATTTGTCTTTTACCTCCATCAGCCTTTTCTTCCTGTTTGTACTTTACTTGTCCAGGGCACAAAGACTGAATATCAAAAGTTGTAAATTCAAAGGTCTCATACAATCAGCCACCATGGCGGTCAGACAAAGGGTCTCAGCTGAAGAATAGAAATGAGGTTATTACTAGGAAAATGGAGCTTACATCCTTTTAAAGTTGGATGTACCAATTAAGAGGTATGTTGAGGCTTCACAGAATGAATAGATAATATTAGATCACCATGCTCTTGACCCATCAGAAGACGATTATGATGAATGTATTGAGGAAAAGAAAAAGATAGAGTGATATACCCACAGTGTCCAAGTTCTACCTAAGCACTTAGTGTGGGGTCCTTCCTGGATGTATCCTGGAGAAGATGTTACTTTCTGGAAAAGGTGTTATCTAAATTGCCTTTTACCTCCTCCTTAGTAACTAACTTCCAGGCACTAGCGAAGGTATATTTACAGATTTTGTTACTCAAAAAAGCATAGACAGTGTCCTGAGAGTCTGTCTTCTGGAGTGAAAGTCACCCACCAAATAAGACACCAAATCATTCTGTTATTTCATGCTACCACACTAAAGTCTTCCAAAATGCATTTCAAAACAGCAGCCTCCGAGATTACAGAGCAGTTAATCTTGCAGATTTAAGTTTTACATTTGACAAGCTTATTGGAACACAGTGTCAAAGCACTTTGGCAATATGACAATTTTCATGTTCTGTAGTACAAGTTCCCAGTAGAAAGTGAAAATGAGGAGGATTAAATTGCAGTAAATTAAGGCCACGCTAAACTCAGGATTAATATGTCTTAGTATGCAGTCATTGATTTTATACCTCTAGTGATTTCATCCTAGTATAACTAAGTGTCTCCATACAGCCAAGGATCTAATTTTGCAACCCTCACTTGCCTTGAGTCATATTTACTATCACTATTTTCATCTTCCTACTTGTAAGGAAGAATAACTCAATGAAAAACTTGCTGCTTGCCTTTCAAAACTACATTCACTAGGTTTATCTTGACAGGTCAAAGGAAAGACTTAAACTATCATTTCTAGGTTATTCATTCTCTTACAATGTTAAAAATCCAAATAAAAAAAAACAAAGACAAAATGAAAACTGTTTGATTTCTAAACCTGACTTCTTTGGAAAAGTTTCCTAAAAGAAACACACCTGCTTCTTTCTTTAAGCAAGTGCTATGGGTATCAATAGTACAGGTACTCAAATGGGGAAATATTGGTTTGTATAGTCTTATTTAATCTTTTAACTCCATTTTTCTGGCAGGTGTGCAAATCCTTTATTCTCCCATTTGAAGCTGTCTCTTGCTCATAATGAATTAATCTAGCAGCTAAGGACACCTCTACAGGTTAAGAAGTGCAAGATATACATTACAATTATACCTCTTCATCATGCAATGGCACTCAATACCACAGGAAAAAACTGTTTTGGGGCCAACATTCATGAAACAAACACGCAAACAAAACCCATCAGTTTGAAGCCTTCTGACACTTTTTCTTAGCATGATCTCCTCTTTTGATCCTAAAAGACAAAATGCTTTGATTTGTATTAAAGTATATTTAAAAACTTGCAGGTCGAACAGTCCTCTGTGTTTCCGCCTTGTAACAGTTTCACGGCACATCCACATTTGCAGACAATAAAACAATGTAAAAATAGATAACAGAATACACCTATGTGTGTATCCACAGGCATGCAAACACACACCCCAACATAATTTATATACATGGAAAATATCATCTAATATTCAAAATATTGCATGGGATCTTGTTTGTGTGCTCATACTGTTTACCCCCTCCTGAAGGCAGAGAAGAGGTAGAGTCTGCCCTGAGATATTGGGAACCTCTGGAATCTTCAGCTGGATGTGGCTCAGTAAGATTGTTATAATTTGTTCTTTTCAATATCCTTTGAGCTCTCATGTCTTTCCTTTGTGTCCAAACCACATTCACCAGGTTTCACTTCCCTTCTGAGCGATAGTTCTGCGAGATCTAGATGTCGGTCTTGAAGAGCAGCTCTCCCTGGGTAACTTCTCCAGCTCCCCTGGTTGTCGCCTGCACACCATTGGCCCCGAGGCCCCAGGTGCCCTTCTACAGGAACTGCTGCATCTTCACCTTGGATTTGGCCAGAACATTCCACTGGCACATCCACATCATGTGTTGCACTGTCGACTTTTGTTTCACATAGAAATGGAGCAAACTGTGCACTTGATTCAAGAGAAAAAAAAACAACAAACAAACAAAAACCTCACCACAAAATGATGACCAATGACAAAAAAACTGTAGCTAGAGTTTCTTACTCCCTCTTTTTTTCCAATTTACTATTTCCAGAAAGAGGCCAAAACTTAAAAGTTCCAATCAACCTTTGACATTAACCCTGCTGCAGCAGGATCTCTCCCATTGGCAACCCATGGGGAGTGGCTTGTACTGTCACAGGTTAGTCCTACCTTCACTCTCCAGAAGGAGAACAGTAGCCTGAAGATATGTCAGTTCAGTGGAAAAGAAGGAAAGGAAGGAAAGAAAAGAAGGGAAAGAAAAGAAGGGAAAGAAAGAAAGAAAGAAAGAAAGAAAGAAAGAAAGAAAGAAAGAA